CTGTGGCGTTTATGTATAATAAATAATAATGGTACCAAGTACTGAGCCTTGGGGTACTCCACTTGTGACGTTACTCCAATCGGATATAGTGCCGCCATTAATGCTCACTCTCTGTTTTCTGTCCTGTAACCACGCACTAATCCATTTTAGAATATCTCCAACAATGCCATGAGCCTCCACTTTTCTTAATAGTCTTTCGTGGGGGGCTGTGTCGAAGGCTTTGCTAAAGTCAAGATATACCAAATCATAGTCGTGCCCCTCGTCCACTGATTCGAAAACAGCTGAAAAGAATGTTAATAGATTAGTTAGATATGAACGCCCTCTTGTGAAACCATGTTGGGAATCGTTGATCAACTTGTGCTTCTCCGGGTGATTTCAAATAAAGTTTGAAATTATTGCGTCCAGTAATTTGCCTGCAATTGATGTTAAGCTGATTGGACGGTAGTTAGAGGAGAGTGATCTATCTCCCTTCTTGAAAATTGGTATTACATTCGCTATCCTCCAAGGTTTTGGTACTACACCCATTTTTAAGGACATATTAAACAATTTTGCTAAGGGCACACTAAGCTCTTCCTTGCATTCCTTTAATACTCTGGCAAATATCTCATCGGGACCTGACGACATATGAGGCTTTAACTTGTCTATTTGCTTACTAACGTCGTTACCAGTCACTACTATCATTGCCTCCTGCACTAAGGCAGATACTGGGTTTGTTCCCATTACCAGACAAGATATTGTCCATCCTGTCAACTATATCCCCCACCCCAGCTCCTGGTAAACACACCTTCATCCTATTTTTATTTCTACCACAAAAAGCTCTGTCCAGGTACCGTACCTGGGAATCGCCAACAATTAAGGTTTTCGTACAGTCCCTCTCAGCCCTGTCCCTGACTATGCTAACAACCAATTCGTCTATCAAAGGACTAAAAGAGTTTTTACACTTGGCTGTTGTCGTTTCCTTGGTGTCTTTTCTCACTTCCAATTTGGTCGTTCTTCTCCTCATAACCTTCCATTCGCCTGATTTTTCGTCATACACGGGCTTTCTTTGTCTCGTGTCTTTTTCCTTCATCCTCGCTATCATTTCCTTTAACTTCAAGTTTTTTTCTTTGACCTCGGCCCTCAGAAGGGCACAGCCCTGTTCACAAGTAGCACTAGCCATTACCGACAATTTATCCCCGGGAGCTAAGTCTGCCGTGACCTTTCCTCTAGCGAGGTCAGAACACAACTGAGCGACTGGACCGACCTTATGGGTAACTCAGGATCAGCGGATTTTCTTGAAACAGTTCAGAACTGTTTCCTAAGTCAACATACATCCGAACCAGCCCGGGGTAATAATATACTAGATTTAGTTCTGTCAAACAGAGAAAACCTCGAGTCATTAGTAGAGTCGAGGTAGGGATCGAAATAGCTAACAGCGCTCACAAAAAAAGTGAAATTTGAAGTAGAACTTAATGTCAGACGCAAGGAAAATCCCATTAAAGTCCCATATTTCAGAGGGACAAACTTTGGTAGGTTGAAAAGACACCTGAGAGAATGAGTATTACGTTTGAGGGTGAATTACATAACCTCATGCGAGGTGACCTCACACAATGTACCTGGTGTACCGACAACGATAACCTCACAAAATATGACGGTTGAGGATGATCTGATCACGAGATTTGAGATTGACGAGTTCCACAACAATTTAAATAATGAGTTACTTAATGCACAAAGGCAGAATATACCAAACAGAAAACACAGATCAAATAACACTGACCCCAAATGAATAAACAATTATTTAAAAAATATTATTGGACAAAGAAAGACAACCCCTTGTATAGGTAGGAGAATAAATCGTGAAGTTTACCTCCGAGATTATTATAAGTTATTGGCCAGTAGGGTTAAGACCGAGATAAGTAAAGCAAAGAGGAATAATGAACTGAAGGTAGCAAGGGAGGTGGAGACAAACCCCAAGGGATTCTTCCAAATGTATCAAACTAAAACACGAAACAAGATTGGACCAATACAGAAAGATACCGGCGACCTAACGGATAAACGACGGAGAAATGAGCAATAACCTGAACAGATATTTTTCAATAGTTTTCACCACCGAAAATTTAAACATGATACCCAAGGCACTGACTATGTACAGAGATAGTGAAGAAAATAGATTAAGCGAGATAGTAGTGACTAGTAACGATGTAGTAAGCAAATAGACAAACTAAAGCCGAATAATTCACCAGGTCCTGATAAGATATTTGCCAGAGTATTAAAAGACTGCAAGGAAGAGCTTAGCATGCCCACAATTTGATCAATGATTCCAAACATGGTTTCACAAGTGGGAGTTCATGTCTGACAAATCTATTAACATTCTTTCAACTGTTTTCGAATCAGTGGATGACGGTCACGATTATGTATTATAGTATTCCTCGACTTTAGCAAAGCCTTCGACAGAGTCCCCCACGAAAGACTAATGCGAAAAGTGGAGGCTCATGGAATTAGAGGAGATATTCTAAAATGGATTAGTGCGTGGCTACAGGACAGGAAACGGCAGGTAAGCATTAACGACACTAAATCCGATTGGGGTAACGTCACAAGTGGAGTGTCCCAAGGCTCAATACTTGGACCATTACTATTTATTATATACATAAACAACATAAATATGGGTGTAGATAGCAACAAAAGTAAATTTGCTGACGACAATAAAATAGAGCATGTAATTAAATTTGACGAGGATTCTTCAAAAATACAGTAAGATCTAAAAAAAAAATTCGCATGGTCTAAAAATGGCAGATGGAATTTAATGTGGAAAAATGTAAAATACATAGTCTAGGAGATGTAAACAGAGAAACCAGATAAACAACGATGTTATAGAGAAATCCGACTGTGAGAAAGACTTAGGAATAAACCAAGACAACAATATGGATTTGCTCGAAAGAAGGCTAACAAAGTACTTGGGTTCATACAAAGGAGAGTAAGTTACAAAAATAGTAAGGTCATCCTAAAACTAAATCTTGCGCTTGTGAAACCTCACTTGGACTAAACGGTTCAGTTCTGGTCACCGTACTACAGAATGGATATAGAATCCCTAGAAAGAATTCAGAGGGGAATGACAAGACTAATCTCGGGCATTAGGAACCTTGAGTGCAGAGACAGGTTAAAGCATCTTAATTTGCACTCCCTCGAGAGACGTAGAGTGAGGGGCGATATGATCGAGGTGTATAAATGGAAATCAGGGCTAAACAAATGTAATACAACAAAGGTACTCAAACTGTCCAGTCAGGAGCGAGCTCGTAGCGATGATTATAAATTAAACAAATTTAGATTTAGGCGCGAGATAAGTAAACATTAGTTTGGAAATAGAGTAGTGGATGAGTGGAACAAGTTATCAAACATCATCTTTAGCTCGAATTCGCTAGATAGCTTCAAATATAAGTTGGATGGATAAATGAGCGATAGGGGTTGGGTGTAAACGGGACTGCCCAGTATGGGCCAATAGGCCCGCTGCAGTTTCCTCCATTGTTACGTTCTTATGTTCAGGCAACGTGCTCCGGTCCTTTAACAGGGATACATATTGCATACACCATGTATTAAAACTAGATACATATACACCGGGTATTATAACAGGATACATATAAACGGGTCTTCTGGTCAGATACACATAATGGGGCCTTGAAACCGGACACATAAATGGGCCTTATAACCGGACACATATACACCAGGAATTATAACCGGACAAATATACATGGGATTTGTAACCAGACAATATACACGAACCTTTGAACTGGACACATTTATGGGCCTTGTAACCGGATACATATACACGGGCCTTGTAACCGGACACACATACACGGGCCTTGTAACCGGATACATATACACGGGCCTTGTAACCGGACACACATACACGGGCCTTGTAACCGGGCACACATACACGGGCCTTGTAACCGGACACATACACTGGCCTTGTATCCGGACACACATATACAAGCCTTGTAACCGGACATACACACAGCAGGCCAACGTACACCAGATACAGTTTCATAGTCACATAGCGAAACACACCAGTCAGCCTCTGGTACAATGTTACACGGTATCCATAGAGTTGTATTACGATGTTTACAACACAAGAAACACGCATTAGAGATTGACTGTCAGAGTAACAGGCAAACGACCCCTTAATTCATTGTTTACGACTGACACGTATAAGGACACACCGTCTTCAGTATGTTTTAAGTTTACCGTCAGTGGTGAAGTAAACGTCCTCACTTGATAACTTTATACCGATATTACGATAACTAGAACCAACCCATGTGCTTGGATTCTCATCGACTTGAATGTACAGTCACCAACAAAAATCCTGTCACCTCTCCTGTATCACGACCAAGATATTCACGCCCGTATTATTAAACATCTTCCCTTGAAGAGGGTCCTCGAGTTTCAACCCGAGTTTTAAACTAAATGAGTCCTGAGGGACACCGCAGTACAGTACTTAACGGGGTGAGGGGGTAAAATTATCTATTCCAATATTATAAATTAATTTTATTGGAATTAGTAAATTTTACCGCCACACCCCGTTAAGTACTGTACTGCTGTGTCCCTCAGGACTCATTTAGTTTAAAACTCGGGTTGAAACTCGAGGACCCTCTTCAAGGGAAGATTTTCAGACTCGTGAACCCGAAGCAGTGACACTGATGCCCTTTTCCGTCTGTATATGTTTCGGATTCATGAATCTGAATCTAGAGGTTCGAGGTTCGTGGTTTAGGGAAGGGTGAACGAACTTTAGTAGTTGACTGTACAGTGAAAACTCTATCTGGCAATGATCTGTTCAACTGTATAATTTACTTTATGTAGTGTAAATAGTATATCAAGCGAGTACAACTAACTATGTCATGCAGCACGATTAACAGTTTGCTGCTACTCCTGAAGCAAGCAGCCACACATTGATAAGCTATTTCTTAATAGTTTGACAATATTAGGTAACTGGTGTAGTAGATACTAAAAGCACTTCCGAGTGAGCTAACCTTCAGTGGGGTCCGAGTGTAGTCGTTGGCACACGTCTTCCACGGTGCCGAACTCCTCCAGAAGTCGCTGAAGACCGTCTGGGCCTCTGGCGCCCATCAGCTTCCGCAGCTGCTCCGGGGTGACGCCATACTTGCTGCCTGGGGCATTATGTGTCATGTCTATACTTTTCCTGTACATAGGGCCAGTTAAGACATGTCAACACCTCTGGGCGATAAAGAAAACAGGCTTCAAGTGACGTGCTATCCTCACGCCTCTGGCCTCCGCTACCTCACTTGTAGTTTCCTGGCCTCCGCTATCTAACTTGTCCTGCCTCCTAGTCTCCACTACCTCACGTCTTCAGTCTTCTCTCACTCACACCGTTTCCTTGTCCACACACTTCACCACCTCTAGACTCAGTTTGTCGCAGTTAATCTGAGAGGCGGCTATACACTAACAGTTCACCTCCATGTCCAGGAATAGCTTTGTACTCTAAACAGTTGCGACAGATTCTTAACTAATGCCGCTCTATCAACACTCCTTATAAAAGTCGACCTCTGTCCAAATAATACTGCCTCTGTTTCATCAAATTACACCAATTACTTCTTGTTCCAACAATGGGCAACTAAGGTGTGTTTCGTGGTCAATTGTGGGTAACTAGACAGAAAATGTTCTAACCCTGCGTGAACGCTTAAATCCGCGTTGTATTTTCTTTCAACTTTGGAATTCTAGTTCTATATTTCTTCAACCATTAGCAGATAAATATGTTGCTTACTTGTTGCCATAACATACTGATGAGGAGAGAGAAGCGATCCCCTGGTAGACTGACAATGATAGACGTAAACTGCTATAATAATAAGTCTGAAAAACTATCCCTGTAGAGATGCTGGCCAAGATATCACGCCTACTTTCCTGTCGCCTTACTAAGTGAACAATACAACTACTTTCAGTTTCCGGGAGTTTGTCTTTAATAATGGGTGTTTTTATACTTTAATTTATCACATGATCGAAACATTTTTATTTTAGCAGAAAATATCACTGCCACTGGAGTTCGTCACCTCATGTACTGTGCGGTACGTTTTGAAGCGGGAGGTCACATTTACAGTGGACACTCACGGCAGAGAGGCATATGGGTGTGGAAGGTCACAGCAGATGGGCGTGAGAGGTGAGGGTGTTGGCGGCCTTGGGTGAGAAATGCACGACTCCACCTGAAAACATACAAACAAACAAATGGTGTTATAAACAACTCGTACATCTGATGTGAAGTACAACGGCAGTGGTAACTCTTATTATAAACATTGAGACCAGTGTGTTTATTCTTATATCTATAATAATATAACACATGATAAAATTTCACCTTAACAAATGTACTAATGTCACTTATCGAGTGTCTATACAGTACACACTCAGTTCAAGTGACGGATAATACCAGAATTATTCAATATTAGTATCTTCTATAATAATAATAATAATAATATTACGGTATGATTTACATTAACGAGTTGAATAAGGAAGTTATCTATAAAATGAGAATCCATAATTTTTAGATATAAGTGTACATTTTGGATCACCTGAAGATTCATCGCCCCAGCTTATTTCACCTAAAGATTAAACCAAATCAAAATTTATATTCAGTTATTTAGACCTAATTTTAATTGCCTTAAAATGTTTTGTCATATTGTATAACTTTCAACTGTAACATGTGGCTTAACATTGCATAATATAGTCTTGCATTATTTATTAACTGGTTGCACATACTGGTGCTCCAAAGTTCTTCAATAACCTTAACAAATTCATATACTGTATTTAAATATCTTTTACCTTAGAACAGTTTGTTAAGGTGATTCAGCTATGTCGTGTTGTTACATGATTCTTATATATTTGCATAGGAACTTTATTTAGCCAGAATAAAAAACAAACGAACTAAAATTAAAGATCATTACAGATATATTTTTCATTTTCTTGAGGGTTTTTAATATCAACAATAATAACTTCAACTGCCTAACAACCTAACATATGCGGTGATAATAACATTTATGAATTAAATTCAGCTCTTAAATTAAAGACCTGAACACACACACACACCTGAGCTGTGACCTGCCCTGTTTATAACACCTGCGTGATTCGTGTGTCTTGGTTGAGTGACGTGTACTGTTTATAACACCTGCGTGATTCGTGTGTCTTGGTTGAGTGACCTGTACTGTGTGTTAATAGCTGGTAAGTTGACCTCCTGAGCTGTTTGCGTGACTGTCTATATGTGACCTGCCAATGATTTTTTACCCTATAGGCCACGAAGAATGGGACATTGGCATAATTCACATGTCTTATGATTCTGTGGTATGTAATTCAGTAATAATTGAAACTTGCGGGGGGTGACAGCCACCAATAATCAATGTGGTAAGTATCTGACAGGGTATTTGTGGGTTATCACGCTCTCTCTTTTTCTTTATACCTTTGCTCCTATATCCCACTCCTTTACTCTCTTTCTCTCTCTATCTGTTTTCTTCCTAACGTAATGGCTTTCCCTGTTACCCTGTCTCTCCTCCCAGCCTCTCTCTAAACTGTTTTTGGTCAGGCTCTCTTCTCCCAGTGTCAGTCACAATCACTCTCTCATCTCGTATTCCCCCATCCAATCTCTCTCTCTCTCTCTCGGTTTCGTCGCCTGAAACACACCAGAGTCACCTTCAACACCATTCAATTTGTCTTCTCCTCGAACCTTTTCTATTAATATATATCAGGGTTGTAAAGCTGCATTTTTAGTCCGGAACAAAAAGTGATCTTCAAGAGATGGCGGTCAATGAGTCAGGGATACACCTATTGTAAAACATTATATTTATCCATTGTAAACCATTAAGTTTACCTATTATAATCCATTAGCCTTACCTATTATGAACCATTAAACTCCTCTATTGCAAACCATTGAACTTAGCCTTTATTTACCATTAAGCTGAATCCGTCAAATTTGCCACCGGCGTTTTCATAGTGAAAATCCTTACATAGTTCAAAGTGTTATAACAATTATTATAATATAACGGATCAGCATAAGAATGGCTGAAAATACAATACACGAAATATCTCTCGTATGAATTTTTATGTTTACTGATTTTTGTTCAAGTGTATATAATCTACGGTTTTATTTTCGTATACATAGGGAGCTAGAATCACGTCCAAAACTCATATAGAGAAGCCTTAGTTCATATTTAGCTCATACTGCAAGAAGCCATCACTGAGGATTTGGTGTGTAATCTGTCTTAAGTATACCATTACTGTGCACCAAGTTTATCATTATCAGTGCAATTATGTCCTAGTGTTTGGGCGAAAACTGGTGGAATTCTGAGAACAGCAGCGGTTCGTGAGCACTTAGTGAAGTTTTTCGTTATTTACAGGCAGTCCTTCGTGGTGTGATGACCAATTTTACGAAACTACCAAAAGAAATACACTTATGATTTCTTTGAACATATTACCATAATAAACTGCACGTACAACACCATAATAATTTCTTTAAGCCTAATTAACTTGTCCCCAGTAATATAGTGTATACTGTGCTGATGGCAGTGATAATGGCGACAACTGTAACAACGAAAATGGGAGTGACATCGGTGATAACGCTGACCTCAAAGTCAGGCGCAACTTGCTGTGTGGTTCCGCAATTTAGAAAGAATTCAGCAGAAACTAAAAAGGACTTTAGTGGTTGGTAATTTGGTACAGTATCATAACATAATTTAGACACGAGCTCAGCAGGACACCGCTTCAGCAGGTCACCACTTCAGCACGACACTGCTTCAACAGGTTACTGCATCAGAAGGATATCGCTTCAGCAGGCGTTCAACAAGACTTCAGCAGACAGCCAGATTTATACCAGGCTGGGCGGCTGCGGGGTTACACGAGGTGGTTGGGGACTGTTATGCTGAAGCCGATAGTATTGAAGGGTAACTACTCACGCACACCCTTCTTCCCACCAGCCTTGACCACTCACCCCACCCACCGACCTTGACTATATTACTCAACCCACCGGCCTAGGCCACTCCACATTATCCACCAGCCTTGACCACTTCACCCACCGTCCTTGACCACTTCACCCACCTTCCTTGACCACACTACCCATTGGCCTTAACCACAATCCACCCAGTACTGATACCAACCAACGGTATTCATTGTGAGTGGATCGGAACATTGTCGAGGACATCTAAAATGACAAGTACAGTATCAGGAGTGCCTACCATAGGTGGAACAACTCTTGGGTGGACTACCATCTTGCGATGTGTTATGCCAGCCTCTCCCTCCCTGTATAAGAAAAAGGCCCAGTCTATAGTATTCATACGTCTCCCAACGGGTTGTCAAGGCCTATCATAATATGAACATATTTACATGGGATGTTAGCCATATCCCCATAGGATCGGAAGAGCCCAAGGCGTCACAGATGTTGAGCACAAGGAAAAGTTATGAGAGGTGGTCAAGAGTCAAGCTCTTGCACCCCACTTGTCCATCGATATTGTTAGTCCTGTCCGAGGCTCCCCCTGGCTCCCTCACCTCAATAATCGATCAATGACACCACCTGCCATGATGACCTCTCCTCCCCACACCACCATGACCTCTACACCACCTGTCATCCCATCACGACCCACCACAATGACATTGACAAGAGTAGTCTACTAGTGAGCTAGTCTCACGCTTTGTGTCAAGTCATAATTACCCGTTCTTCCTTGATATACACCTCCAACACGCTATTTCTCACAACACACTTTTAAGACAATCACCTGTCATCATTTTTTATTGCACAAGACACATAATACAACAAATAAACGATAGTAACAAACTGTATACAAAAGACTTATCTGTGTTTCTAAATCGTATACTTGAGACAATGGTGTTATGCGTGTTAGGTAGTTGATGATATGCCTTATACCATTTCCCGATGGTGAACGGTAATAAAGTCACAGGGAAAAGTCACATTTCCTTTAAACACCATAGATGCTAATTAAAGTAATTAAACAAATAGTATTTTAAGTCGCGTATTAACTGACAATACAAGGCAATGAAACAAAAACATTTATGTCTATGGGCTTTTTTCTTGGTCTAATTCTAATACCTATTTAGATTTTATGTTAGGTTAGGTTATGTGAGGTTACCTTAAGTTAGGTTACGTACCATTATGTTAGGTACATTTAGGTTAGGTTAGGTACCTTTAGGTTAGTTGAATTTTAGCTGGGTATTTCGATTTCCTTCATTCTGCTTGATACAACCTTAAAGTGGGCCCCTCAAATTGTAACCCTCTCCATCCCAGGAGAGGCCACAGCCGGCGGGATTTAAATCTCTCTATCTATCTACCTATCTGTTTATCTATCAATCTATCTATCGATCTATCTATTGTTCTATCTATCTATCTATGAGGGAGTAGTCTTCATTACTTTCCTATCCACATTATTGAATGATTTATGTAACAAATGTAAAACAATTATTAACGACCTCACTCCCATACCGGTGACGTTTGTATATAAAAAAATAAATAATAATAATTATAATAATTAAAAAAATATATCAATTTTATACTATAGAATGCAACACCATCGAATATGACTTCTCACAGTAACCGTCAACTTTAATTAGTATCTGCAAGGCTTCCGAGATATATGTTGATACAATAGGTGTTGTAAGTAAAGTGATTTAATTGTCTGTTGTTTGTTCGGATGAGCCATTCTCCTATTCTGCTTCCTTTTATAGTTTTAGAAAAGGGGTATTTACTGATCACTGATAAAATCAGTAAGCAGTTTCATAAGTTACTGATATCACTAGTATCAGATATTGACATCAATGATATCAGTAATATCAGTTATGATATAAAACTGTGATCTCTTGTAAGAAGATTCAGATTCTCTGACAGTATCTATTATGTTTAAAGGAAATGTGACTTTTTTCTGTGACTTTTTTACCAGGATTCGTCCCGATGATGATCGTTTAACCCGTTCGACCGTTAAACACAGAGTTACCAGGGACTGAGGGGTGTGAAGCGTTTATGTTGAGGTTCACTTCTTAACGTTTTTATTAACAAAGAAAACGGCTGCGAAAACTATAGACAAGATGATTACCTTAAAGTCTCTATGCAAAAAACGTTAATGAAAAGAGACATAATTACGTACGTGCGTGCGTGTATGTGTGCGTGCGTGTATGTGTGGGCGTGCGTGTATGTGTGGGCGTGCGTGTATGTGTGGGCGTGCGTGTATGTGTGGGCGTGCGTGTATCTGTGAGTATGTATGTGTGTGTGTACGTGTGTGTGTGTGTGTAGTAGTAGTAGTAGTAATAGAGGGATGTGTTGGAACTTTGATTGACCATACCATCTGAACTTGTTCCCGCCACCCAACACTTTGTTTCCACTAACCTACGCTCTGTTCCCACCACTTTACACTTTGTTCCCGCCACCCTACGCTTTGTTTCCACTAACCTACGCTCTGTTCCCACCACTTTACACTTTGTTCCCGCCACCCAACACTTTGTTTCCACTAACCTACGCTCTGTTCCCACCACTTTACACTTTGTTCCCGCCACCCTACGCTTTGTTTCCACTAACCTACGCTCTGTTCCCACCACTTTACACTTTGTTCCCGCCACCCTACGCTTTGTTTCCACTAACCTACGCTGTTCCCACCACTTTACACTTTGTTCCCGCCACCCTACGCTTTGTTTCCACTAACCTACGCTGTTCCCACCACTTTACACTTTGTTCCCGCCACCCTACGCTTTGTTCCCACTAACCTACGCTCTGTTCCCACCACTTTACACTTTGTTCCCGCCACCCTACGCTTTGTTCCCACTAACCTACGCTCTGTTCCCACCACTTTACACTTTGTTCCCGCCACCCTACACTTTGTTCCCACCACCTTACAATTTGTTCCCATCACCCTGCACTATAGTTAGACTGTACCTGCCATCACAATTACACACCCTTATGAATCATACTAGGTCGTAATTGGTGTATAAGTGAGGCAGGGACGACGGCGGTTATCCACTACACAGTCCAGGTTATGACTCGCTCCAACACGCCACTACTCTCAGCTGCATTAACACATAGTACACAGTATTACTAAGTCCGTTCGCCTCTCCCCCTGAACCCCGAAATTTAGACTCATGAATCCGAAGCAATTATAGACAGAAAAATGTATCAGTCTACTGTTTTAGGTTCACGAGTCTGAATCTCGGGGTTCGTGGTTCAGGAGCAGAAGCGAACGGACTTTAGTAGTTGACTGCACTTGCCGTCAAATTTCCCCTACATACTTTTTGGCAAACCTCTGGTATCTAATTAGCAGTTGTATAGTTAGTGGGAGGTTTGGGATTTCAACATTTATTTACTCTGATATTTATTTCGACTGTAGAATGCTATTTGTCATGTTAATCTGAAGAAAAGAATACTGAAAAGTGGTGTTTAGCAGCTAAAAATAAACCCCATATATGACCCGGCCAAATGTTGTCTTGGACATTTGCAGATATACTGAGACACTGAACACAAACAACACAGAAATCGGAATCGAAATTAAATTGTAATATCGTATTGTTTAATTGATTTTGAGAGGATAACGTTATGATATCGGAACAGTAACGACTTAATGATATCTATCCTAACTTAACCACTAGAATGATAACGTTCTGATATTATTCATCATTTCTTTACATCGTCCCCAGGAACGTCAAACAGCCGTCCGACTTTTTGCTGGGTTCTATCCTCCTTCGGTATCAATACGAAATATCGCCAAATTCCGACCGGAATTTGGCGATATTTTGGTCAATAAACACACACAACTCTCCTGTACACTAATCCTGCCATTGTCTGTTAATTCAATTAATTAAGTGCTGTTGTCATCACAGTTTATATCTACGACACTTTAGAAAGAGCAATGTTATACAAGAGAAGACCTATTAGTCTTCCGTCAACAGAAGCGTAGGTCACCCCGAAGATAACAGGGAAGGTACAGTCAAATGTGTTACTGACCTAACACAGGTTCACAAATGTGTTAAGTTAAGCCTAGTGGATATCTCCTTCCTCCTGCCTATGTCAGGACATAATTAGCTACCAGCGATAGAATGACACTTACCAGGTGTAAGAAGACATGCAACAGCAGTTGCTACGTGCAAGACGACGTCCGGTGTTGTGAGCTCCTTCGGTACTCCCCACGCTGCCAGACGCCACTTGTTGCCGCAACACTCACACCACCCTGTCGTACCGCATGATATACAGTACACAGTAGGTCAAACATGGGGCCGATTACCAATGCTGATTTTGTTTGTTAAAATGTTCAGATTTCATTATTCTTGGTTATAATTAGGATTAAGCAATCCAAGTTTTAATATGTTTCATATTGATTATGATTACTGGTCACTGATTTTTCTTGATTAGATTACGACCATGATTACATTGATTTCAATACATTTAATTACGATTATGATTTATCTGGATTACAATTACATTCGCGATTACAGGTACAAGAGTTAGGTAACGTTTTATCCCATAGAATCAAAATAACAATACTAAAATATTTAACTATGGCATGAACACTACCATTAAAAATGGGTACATCGTAATGGCTGATAATAATATACTGTAAGTGTGGCCAAGCCTTACAGGCAGTGAGTAGCGCAAAATATCTGATAGCACAGGAGTAGTCTTTAATATTGATAACGTGACCGACTGCCCAAGCGACTAACGAACCGATCAGTGGCGAGGAGGATAAAAAAGGTAAGTAAACCCTGCTTCCGGGTAGGACATGAAGGGCCTCTGGGGTGAAGAAGCAACTTCTGAAACTCCAGAGTCCATAGTAGCCTACTGGTCAGGTCACATGGTAGGGTGTTGCCAGATTATTTGATTACAGATTACATTACAATGCCTTGGTCAGTGTTGCCAGATAATATGATACCAGATTACATTACAGTGCCATGGTCAGTGTTGCCATATTATATTGTTACAGATTACATTACAGTCACATGGCAGCAAATTGATTTAACAGTTTGTGGCGGAAAAATTTAAATGCCCATTGACATGCATTGCAATCCTGAAAGCAAATCGAATACTATATTTAATTTACCAGTAATCATCTCGTAAATTTTGGGTATATTGCGATTACAATTGTTTGGTTGACAGGCCACCCTAGAGGTCCAGTGAGGGCCACCAGTCAAGTGTTGGGCCAGGAGGACACAGTTCTCGGAGAACACCTCATATACTGTACTACCCAAGACGACACATCGTATATTTTTGTGTTCATGAAAGTATTACTTAACCACAGAAAATAGTTTTAGTCTGATAATTGATAATCTGTCTCAGTAACATTTATAACTAACTCAACATGAGTCCTGTTACTTTTCTCTCCCTAGGCCCCGTTGGGGGTCGTTCGACCTGTGCCCTGGTGGGCTAATTCCCGCAAAAAAAAACAAATAAAACAAATAAATAAATAAAATAAACAAATGCGTTCGTGAGTGTAGAGGATACGACAGCGTAAACATACCCTTACATACTGTATGTATAAACAGAGTTAGAGAACTATGCAAGTGCATGTATATAGCCTATTATACTACAGCGTGACAATTGAACCGGATTCGCAGACACGCAACTTACATCCGCCTTCAATCGCTTTGCGTAATGAAGACGTTAAACAAAGACGAAGAGTAAGTGAGTCCGTCTGGTCCACCCAAGGGTCCTAACCAGGGGTACACCCACAGGTTCAACTTAGGGGTCCCACCAAGGGATTCACCCAGGGACTCACCCAGGGACACACTCACACTTGTTATTAAAGTATGGAATTTGTACGACCACTCAGTCACAGAGGAAAGTGAACCTCTCTGCTGTGATTTCACAGAGGAAAGTGAACCTCTTTACTGTCACTTCATAGAGAGCAGTGAACCTCTCTACTGTGACTTCACAGAGGAAAGTGAACCTCTCTACTGTCACTTCATAGAGAGCAGTGAACCTCTCTACTGTGACTTCACAGAGGAAAGTGAACCTCTCTACTGTCACTTCATAGAGAGCAGTGAACCTCTCTACTGTGACTTCACAGAGGAAAGTGAACCTCTACTGTGACTACATAAGGAGAAGTGAACCACTCTACTGTGACTTCACAGAGGAAAGTGAACCTCTCTACTGTCACTTCATAGAGAGCAGTGAACCTCTCTACTGTGACTTCACAGAGGAAAGTGAACCTCTACTGTGACTACATAAGGAGAAGTGAACCACTCTACTGTGACTTCACAGAGGAAAGTGAACCTCTCTACTGTCACTTCATAGAGAGCAGTGAACCTCTCTACTGTGACTTCACAGAGGAAAGTGAACCTCTCTAGTGTCACTTCATAGAGAGCAGTGAACCTCTCTACTGGACTTCACAGAGGAACGTGAACCTCTCTACTGTCACTTCATAGAGGAAAGTGAACCTTTCTACTGTCACTTCATAGAGAGCAGTGAACCTTCTCTACTGTGACTTCACAGAGGAACGTGAACCTCTCTACTGTCACTTCATAGAGGAAAGTGAACCTCTCTACTGTCACTTCATAGAGAGCAGTGAACCTCTCTACTGTCACTTCATAGAGGAAAGTAAACCTCTCTACTGTCACTTCATAGAGAGCAGTGAACCTCTCTACTGTGACTTCATAGAGGAACGTGAACCTCTCTACTGTCACTTCATAGAGAGCAGTGAACCTCTCTACTGTGACTTCATAGAGGAACGTGAACCTCTCTACTGTGACTGCATAGAGGAACGTGAACCTCTCTATTGTCACTTCATAGAGAGCAATGAACCTTTCTACTGTGACTTCATAGAGGAACGTGAACCTCTCTACTGTCACTTCATAGAGAAACGTGAACCTCTCTACTGTCACTTCATAGAGAGCAGTGAACCTCTCTACTGTGACTTCATAGAGGAACGTGAACCTCTCTACTGTCACTTCATAGAGGAACGTGAACCTCTCTACTGTCACTTCATAGAGAGCAGTGAACCTCTCTACTGTGACTTCATAGAGGAACGTTCATGTTAAATACCGCAACTGTGATATCAACGCCCCGGCCAATATAACATATATGTGTAATTTGAGGAGATACCTGCTAATTGGTCGTAAAACACGAGCTTTGTGTAATGGTAAGCCTTCCATGTTAACTGAAGCCGAGTATGGAGACCTACACACACACACTTGGAAATATCTAGCTTTATTCCGTGGAAGGGAAGCTGTTAAGTATTCAGCAATAAATAATATATTAACTTGAGTGAGCGTTCATCAATAAGACTAATTGTGAAGTTATTGGTATAATACTGAAACATTTCGTCGTCGTAAACATCTAAAACTGTTTAGTGTTCAGCTAAATTACTTCATATGCTTAACATTTACTAGTGACATTCATAATTTTATGTTGATGGCTATTTTGATTTTCGAAAACTTAAAAAAAAAATCAATCGTGAGTGAAAAGGGTAAACCACAATTTCTATTTAACAAAGTGCAAGAGAAAGACGAAAAAATATATATTCTATGGCATAAAGGACGTAAATTATGAAACAATTTTTCATAATATATCGTGAAAGTTGAGCATCGTCTAGGAGTCATAAAGGTGTTGGAGAAAATGTTCAGCTTTTATGTACAGTCGGGGTCAAAAGTCTTGAACACTTGACAGTATTGGCCATGTAAGTACCCGAAGATCTTAGGTATTAAGAAGAGTTTTATCCCATTTTGTGGTTCAGGCATGATATATGATGACAAGTAGTGTTATTAGTATACCCTAATCATATATGTATAACTCAGAAGTAGATGCCAGATATTGGTAGGTGTTCAAATATTTTGACCCCGAACGTACGTCGAGGGAATTCCTGTGACAGGTTAGTTTAGGGCGACACAAACCGTTGTTGGAACATTATTCTTCAGAGTATGAATTATAATAAATAGGACTTGGTATATGGTATATGTAACCTAAGAGTGGGAACAGCAACGCTGCGACGATGACTACCCTCATCCACGAAGCGAGGACAGAAGAGACCTGTGTGTAGATCCACGACACGGGGTCAGGAGAAACCTGTATGTAGATCCACGACACGGGGTCAGGAGAGACCTGTGTGTAGATCCACGACACGGGGTCAGGAGAAACCTGTATGTAGATCCACGACACGGGGTCAGGAGAGACTTATGTGTAGATCCACGAGACGGGGTCAGGAGAGACTTGTGTATAGATCCACGACACAGGGTCAGGAGAGATTTGTGTATAGATCCACTACACGGGCTCAGTAGTGTAATCTGCGTTGAGTCACGTAACAGTCCCTCCCAGTGAGTAGCAAGTGGTCGTGTGTCGTAGTAGTGAGGGGAATATAATAATCCTAGATGTGTTCTGTATTATCCTTCAGTACCAAGAGCGAGGAAATGCGTGACGTAATAACTACTGAAAGGATGATTTAATGATACAACACTGTCATTATAAAAATCCATACTCAGCTCTCAGGGGGACACAACACCCACTTACTCACACAAGCTATCCATCACACTGAAGAAGGCTGCTGTGAGGCGGTAATTCACGAGTATGTGTTACCCTTGAGATCGTGGTCACCTCTGATGAATATGACCCCATCCATCAGCAGTCACTGACCTTCTGTTGTTGAAGGTCACTATGGAGGGTGTGTGTGTGTGTGTGTGTGTGTGTGCATAAAGGCAAGCATGAACTTAGCATGCTTCCCAGATGGGCGCTGTAAACGCTTCTGCGCTTCACCTTGCACAGGATGTAAGGGGGTGCCCAATAAACTATCCCCCACGGGGGCAATCTAAAAAAATCTATCTGTGTGTGTGTGTGTGTGGTGGCAGGCAGCGTTTCGTCTCCATTTTATCCATTGACATCGAGTCGTATATTTGTACAGTATACAAATTGAGAAAAACAAGACATGAAATCATTAAGTTAGCAAAACTATTAACTTTTACCGTTAAATGAGACGGGAGACTATAATCGATATTTCACCAGGAATGGAATTTGCGTTCTTGTTTAACAACACCCACACTTCCCACAAACACACCAGCACCACCATTCCTGGAATGTGGACGGGTGAACCTTTACATTGATGGAGTCTAACTAAACCTATAGCTCCAAAACACCGACTGTCAAGTACTAAATAACCCGAACATTGGTGTTTTCTCGTGACTTACTTAAATAAAGAAAAATGATAAAGTGTGATGAGAGGTGTTACTATACACTCTTCAGTTGTGACACAGTATATAGATGCCGACTCAAATCTTTCTTGCTACTTTTATTAAGGTATTTCTCATATTTACCGGTCGAAGAATTGGGTCAAATGGAATGGCTTTCATCTTCAATGTTTAACCTTTTATTCTAATTTCACCAGAAAGTTGAATTATTAGATACATATAAAGTGAAGAAATGTTTACTTGCCGTGTACAAGTGAGGCAATATAATTGCTAGTAGGGCACTGGTAAAACACGACGCAGTACGTTCTGTGAATTTGAATACTTTGAGTTTTTGCGTGTCTGAGCGGAGAAGGAAGTGACGGAACCTTCATCAATCTGTAGGTACTGTATGTCTTGTGAGACATGAACAGAACAAACAACTTAACTGGACCAAAACACTCCTGGTAATTAAACGCATTGAGAGTAATTTACAGGGCGGCAGAGAATTTAAACAACAAAATATGGACTGGCCTCAGTTTCATAGCCTATTGTTGCTAAGACAGTATGCTGTCATTATTTCCAACGATAATTAAACAGAGCGGTTTTGTTCATGTCAATCTTAGTGTCTTGACGTGTTACAGAGTGTTTCTTAAGGAGGTTCAGTAATGGATTTTAGGTACAGCTGCACTCCCGGCAGACCACTACACTAATCAATAACTGAAATCTGAGGCAACACTTACTGTAGATCTTAAATTTTACAGGTTGCCACAAACTCCCGCTCCACTTAGCTGTCCATTGATTTACAGTAATTACTAATGACGCGGAAATTTGATGTTTTATAATCAAAGCCGCTGAGAGCCATTGATTGTGTAAATATAGCTTAAGGATTGATGGTGAAGTAATTATCTTTCTCTCGTTTACTTTTAGTTTTGACTTAATTAGTAATTAGGTGAATAATTACGCACACATACACTAACGTGTCACTATAACACCAATATGGCACACTATAACACTAAAATTATATGTTACTATAACACTTACAATATGACACTGTAAACTTATAATACTATAACACTTATGAACACTAACAAACAACAGTGGTGATAATTATTCCCTCTAAGTTATCAAATTAATTACGTATGCTCAGGACACGGCTCAGTTGGCTTGGATAATGATCAGGTAATCACAACCTCTAGAATAAGCTCAGACGCGAGTTACTATTATGCATAATGAGAACTAAACACGCAACTATTAGGATATATTTAGAGGGTTACATAGTTTCTGCAGTCCCAGTCTCCCTGTCTCTACTGTATCTGCCATCGTCAAAACCTTACTACTTCTGTGATCTCCTCTCTCTTACCGACGACGACTTTCTACCAATATTAAGTCCCACTATCACTGGGGGGGACCTCTCACTATCACTGAGGACCTCTCACTATTACCGGGGACTTCTCACCATCACTGGGGACCTCTCACTATCACTGGGTACCCCTCACTATCACTGGGTACCTCTCAGTCAATATGAACTCAATATCATTCACCATCACTAGACTACTCACTATCATCGAGACGGGCACAGCTAATTTTTTCCCGATCGATGACTCTACTTCAGTGATTTTGCTGCCGGGTACTGCTAACCCACTTAATTTGTTTAACCGTCACGCACCACTACTAACCCCGCCACTTACCCTCCAAAGAATCTACATCGAAAATCATTATGGCATTTCCACGCCATGTGCCCCCACTTGCAACACTTAAAGCACATTAATGAGGGATTCGTTGTAGACAGCAACCCGCTTATATCCCAAACATCTCACGAAGACCTTCTCGGGCGCTGAACCTTTGATTAGCGCAATTAGCTGCGGCTTAGGTACTAGTTCTCCATCAAATCTAATTACACGTCTCTTGCCCCCGAAAAATCTATCGTCAGCCAACACATCCTCGGGGTCAAGGTAAACAGGATAATAAAAAAGAATGATCTTAGTACACTTCCCAATAGACTCCACAGGCTTTTCCATCACTGCATTCTCAAAACCTTCTGTAGTTAAATATCTAACTGCTTCCTCATCCTTCACAGTAATATAAGGAATATGTTTACCTTCTTTAAAGAGCACTTGATACCCTTGATGGCGCTTAGTGAGTCTAACTGACCGCTTTACCTTATCTTGAAAATCCAGGCCATTATTCTTGGGGAAGTAAGGACGTGGCCTCCTTGATGAGTTACTGCCATCTAAACCATCAATGGGGTTTACACTCACTGTACTGATCTTGGTTGAAGAATGACTCACACCAGCAATTTTCTTTCGCTTATCCACCAAGTGGAAAATGTTATCTTCACTGTTTGTACCCTCTATCTTCCTCCTTTTATTCTTATTTTTGCTATTAACAACTTTAAATGGCTTTTGTTCTTCACATTCACTGCTGCTAGACAGCTCCAAATCCGCCAACAGTCCCCCAGCAGTACCCTGGACTACATTGTTGTCACTGCTATATCCACCACCCAATTCCGCCAATGTATGAAACGACCTGCTCGTTGAAGCTCTTCCGCCAGCCATGACCGTATGTGTCCAGCCACGGAGGTGTAGGAGAGCAACCTGCACGTCCGGCCAGTAAGGCCAGCGTTCTAGAAGTGTTGTACTGGTACACTCTAGTCAGTCTAGGCACAGCTGTCTCTGGTGTTTTGGGAGTTGGTATTTGACCATTGAGATTTGTTTTGCTTGATAGTGATTTTGTGTGATCTTGTTGGACCTTCAGTCCTTAGCCACTTCCAAATATCTTGTCGTATTGTTAATGTTATTTATTTTATTTTATGTACAATCTCGTTCAAGATTCTTCGAACACTGTTGGAGACAGCTGGCAACTCAAGGCCGTTTGTTTACTGTAGTACTTAGTAAAAATTATGAATAAATGTAAAGGTGATCGGTGATTGGTTACATAGTTCCCCGTTGCTTAATTTAATGGTTGGGCTTTGTTGTTTCGTATTATATTATACTACTGACCCACACAATGTGGGTCAGTGCTGTGTCGAACCCTCTAGAGGGCAATTTAGCCATTAGGTATTTAATTCTGGCTAACGCCAGACAATTTTATTTAGCCTAGAGAAACCCCTGCCCTCTAAAGGGTTAAAGGCAAAAATATACTTTGGTTCTTTAATGCGAGTTTCTAAGCTCATGCCTGCCTCACCACCAGTCATTCCGAACTATGTAACTAGATCAATTCAAATAAAATAAAATTGTATTTACTTTGTTGGTAGTGTTTATCGCTGCTTCAAACTATTGAAAAGAAATTTAATGTATTTTTTTCCCTCATCACAGTGGCGATCATAGAGGTGGTTTTATATCGAGTAAGGAAAGACGGATAAAATTTGAGTCTCCCATGACACATACCATGATGACATTTTTATTAGAGAAAACATTACCTACCAGGGAGAACTCCTGAAGCTCTGGGTAAATACTCCTATGTAATATGAATAAACAAATATCTACAGACGAGGGATGATTTAATAAAAGTTTATAAGCTCCTCAAAGGACATTGCTCACTCATATCTGGAGCTATCGGAGATCGCTTCTTTGGAGTAAGAGGTACTGTACAGCACCTCCAAGAGCCAGTGCATGCTCAATATTTGCCAACAATGTGTAACAGAAAAATGATCGACTGGCCGAGCGGCTTGAGAGCCAACCAGTGGCACAAGTTAGACAGAAGTGATCAAAGCACAAAATGCATTTATCAATTATTTAGGTAAATAAATATACAGTAAATCGTGTAGCTTGTTTTGAATAAAATATTTCTAAATAAAAAAAATAATTATGTACTTGTCTGTCTAAGGTGTAAGTTGGACCGTTGAAGACATTTCAAGGGGCTGTCAGCACATTACACAACTCTCTTAACACTCTGGGATACACGCAGTCAGAGCCGAGGCTGTAATTAACTTTGAGCTTAGACAGCTTAGAACTAACATACTCTTCTGAGAACTCAGTGTGCGCTAGTGCAGAGTCAGCCTGTTCTTCCCCAAAAAACAGGTAAGTTGTTGGGATCCTCTTTTGTAAACACCGAGGAGAAGAATATATTTAAATGCCTCCGCCTTGTCCTGGTCTGAGTTCACATGACTACCATCTCCCAGCGTGTCTTTTCTGCCCTGCTCGTCTTATGTTGCGACCCATCCCTTGAAAGTGAGTTTTTTAAGACTTTGTCCATTGGCGCATGGTTCATATATAACGGTCTGTTTGTCCTGGAACTAGCAAGATTGGTCTTTGGTATGCATCTACCTATCAAGTAGTTTATTTTACTGTCTATGATAACTTAAGTACCTTTTGCAATAGGCAAATCTTTCAATTACGTCATTAAAAGTTAAGAAGTTTCTTCAACTTGTAGTGAGGATTAATCATTTTGTTTTATTTTCTCTGTCAACCCAGCATAGATTTGAATTAAAATAGTAGTAATAAGGGGTAGAGAAAAGATTACACTTTGTATAAAATTGTATTAAGAAAATCGTACAGTAGAAAGTTAAATATAAATGAACACTGTTTTAAACAAATAAATCCCTACATCAAAGTAACTAAATAACAAAGTAGTGTGAATGTGATCCAATGACAACACCACTGAGCTACCCGAGACCCCGAGAACCACTGACTAGAGGCAGCTAGGTTCAGGCAGAGGAGTTCTTCAGTGTAATATATTCCAATCTCCAGGGATTTGTATCGTCTAAGGACATATGCAGCTATTTTACGTCGCTTGTGATATACTGTGTATATTGTGGTTATTGTCAGTCACCTCAGGACAACTAAGGGTAGAAATGGGTCAAGAATGCATATGTTGTCTATGAGGGTTGATCTCGTCACAATCAAAATTTATATCTGGTAAACACCGGAGTTAAGTGTGCTGACAGACGCTTCCACTGTGCACAGCTGCTGCCCAAGAGAACCATTACTACATGTAAACTTAGTATAAGACAAGCGTCGTGACCTAACACATACACGAGACAGCTTAACTTTAAAGACCTTCAGACATGAACTTATTAACCATTTAGTTTCTTTTCCTCATAAGTTTACTGACATTTAAGTTTGAGTGAGTTACGCTATATTTCACTTTAATCTTCTTTACAATATTTTCTGTGATGAGACAAAAGACAGAGAAGGCGGCGCCGGCACCCAGGAATATGAAGGCCATGACCACCACCGACAGATCTACTGGTGAGAACTCCACCTCGTTACACTCAGCAGGACTCGGCGTCCACTCCGAGTGCCACTTCTTCATGAGCCCCGTCGTCTTCATCCTCAAGATTCTGCCAATCACAGGAAACAAGTGATTGTGTGTGTTGGATTATTCGACTAATGAATGGGAATAAAGAAATTAATGTTTAAGTTAATAGCTATGGTTGAAACTACGACAGAGTGTGAAAATATCTTACATTTTGTTTAACACAGGTATTAGTGGAGAAGCCTTTTTAATGGCGAAAGCGCTTATGGACGGGAAGTTTGCCTTGGGTAGGATAAAGTAGCGGCAGTCTCTACCATACTTGTTGCTGAGGTAAGCCCCGGCCGCCAGGAAGACGAAGGGCTGCTGTAACACCCGCTCCATCCCTTCTTCTCGGCTGTTAACAAAGTCATCACTTCCCAACGACTTCCAGATGGTGCGATGTTCTAGACTTTTGGACACCTGCCAGGAGGAAAAACATTGTGCACCTTTACGTCTTGCGATATGCTTCTAGGAGTTTATAAGGGTTGTGGCAAAAAGATTTGCGATTTTTTTTTTTTTACAAGGAAAGTTACCCAAATACCCTGAAATACTCAGTGAGTGATGACCCCCTGATCAGGCCCATCTTTAGCGTCGGGTGTCTGCTGACGTCGCCGATAGTGGAGATGGTGGGGAGTGGAGGACCCACAGCCATAGAGGACACTAGTTGACTTGTGTAGTGAGCCATTATTAGCACCTGTAGGGTCATCACCGTGAGGAACACCGCACGACTCGGCAACCCGCGGAAGTCTACTGAAGAGCCTGTAATAACATATAAACGTCAAATAGACATTCTTGCATACCGAATTTACACAGTTCACGTAACAAATGACGAGGGGCGTAACGTCACAGCGGAGATAATCTGTTGAAAGAATAAATCACACTGTTGACAACAATGACACAGTAAAGGCGGCATCACGCACTTTTCCATCATTTTCTTGTAGCATTCTCTCAAGATTGCCAATTTTCTGGGCGTGCCTTGTCACACATGCATCGAGAACTAGCGTGCTAGTCTCCGCAATCGTCAAATGTAAAAGAAGTTGGCGGCTCTTACTAACCAGCAAGCAGGCGCTATTCTGCACTGTGTCATGTCTGTAAGGTGTAGAGAGAGAAAGTTTCAAGAAAGCGTACCTGCATGGGTGCGTTCATGGTTGGCACGCCATGAGAAAAGGTGTGTTTACCACGTGCTGATGTTGAAAGAGTTGTCTTTATAGAGGACCATGAAACAAATGAAAAATTGGATCAGGCTGGATAAGGTCCAATACAATGAACTCTTACGATTAGTGACACCACTCATTGAATCAACCGACACCAGAATGCGAAAGGTATTGAGTGACAGAAGGGCAGCACAGTTTGCTATTTGGCAACAGGTTAGTTCCAAGATAAATTTTAATGCACTAGCTAGGCTGGCAGGTTGTAGGTATCATTACTTCAAACCCTCCTCATCAGTGCTGGATTGCATAGTACCATAATTATTGGTGATCCTATACAGTGTTATTGTGGGTAAGATAATATTACAGTTTATATGTATGAATTGAATATATTGTATGCGAGTAAGTGAAAGTTTAGCAATGCGTCACATAACTTAAGGTTTAGGTTTGGCCATGTGGACGATGCTTGGTAATTGTAAAGTTTACGGACGCTTCTTTAAGTGTTTTTACTTATTAGGAAACTAAATTTTAATGTATTATAAATATACTGTAATTGAATAATTCTTGATTGTCCTAGTGTGATGCCGCCTTAAGTGTAAAATCACAACAATATATCTTACCCTGGCCACATATTCCACCAAAGACAATGGTGATGGAGTCAACGAGTGATAACACGCGCTGATGTCTGGAGTAAGAGGCAAGGTGGAGCGTGAGTGAGAGCACCACCAGGAACAAGGCCAACACCACCCACGCCTCCATCTGGAACTCCGCTGTGAAGGTGCTCCACATCCTGTCGTCATTGGTGGGCCGCTTTATCACCATCTTGTATCTGAAGCATCACAAACACACACAATTATAACAGATGTTCCTAATAGTACTGTACTCGTAGTGGCATTTGTCTCCGTACTAACAGTAGTAAGAAGGAAATGCCACAACGAAATTACTGGTATATGAAAGTTTCTTAGATTTGGGCACCAACCGATGGCATAGAGGGATCTTTTTTCTTCATTTTAGGCGAATAATGTCTCAAAGTTGGGGGAAATAAAATACGATCCATTAAACACTTTATAATGGGGAACTGAACAATTTTAGTAAAAGATGTACAGACATTGCCTACCTTACACATTTAATGGAGAACCTAACTTACTCTGTCCTGACGACCACCATCAGGAAGTCGACGGCGGAGCTACGCTGTTCAGTGATGTCAAGGGAGGCAAGGGCGATGTCAGCATCACCATTGACAATGTCGCTGATCATGCCCGTCCATTTGCCATCCACCTTAGCGCCCCACTGACCGTCCCGGGTAGCCTTGCAGGTCGACCTGTCAAGCGGAACCTCTGACACTTAACACTGAGGACGGTATCAGCAATACAATAGTCAGGGAGAAGGGGAGGAGGAAGCGGTGTGTAAGATTTCACACACATAAAAACATTACCAAGTAGTAGGGAAGAGGTTATCCAATTGTGAGCTGACCATCTCCACCATCATGAACTGAAGGTAAAGAAGTGAAATATTTCTCATACATCTTTCTCAGCCGTCTTCTTAAAGGCAATGCACATCATAACAATTCAGCCTCGATACTCTCGCAGTTTAAAACTATACCAGTGCCAGTTGAAGTATCAATTTCTACAATTGTTGGAAGTAACATTACGGATGATAAATAGACCAGAGCAGCTCTGGAATGCATTTTCTCGATAAATTTGGTGAATCTTTTGTGAGAGAAGCAACGGCCCGAGATACAGATAATTCATGCGACGCGAGTAACTGACACGACTGTATATCCTTGGGACGGAAATCACCGACTAATGTGACCCAAAATTATCAGGGAACGGTATCACTCGGGACGTGAGTCCTTGTGATACTAATGTGGCGTCTGCCGCAGGTGTGAGTTGATGTCGGGGTGGTGACCCTTGATGGTTTTATCGCTGATGGATTTGTGTGTGTGTGTGTCCACCGTACCGCACCGCACCGCACCGCCCTTCACTGACCAGCCCTGTGTCCTGCCGTGACCATTTTGTATAACTTACAAACCAGCTTCTCAGTTTTTCACAGTCCGTTATTTAGTCAGGACTGCCGTTTATAGAGCCAGCTAACGCAACAAAAAACCCAACTGATTTCGCGTCCTTACACTCATAGTCGCTCTCCTCTCTATTCATCACCAACCATCACAGTCACCTCATGTACAGTATCTTAAAAAAGTATCTGTCATCACACTGTATTATGAAACCACGGGTGATAGATATTGGGACATACATTAACCTTGGTATATAGTTTAACACAAGTAATTCAATGTTTAAATATTTCGGCGTAATTAACATATGTTCGGTACGTGGTCGGACAGATGACCGAAAGACATTTGGCCGACGGACGTTTCACCGACGGACATTTGACCGAATGGACATCGAGCCGACGGACATTTGGCTGAATGGACATATGGCCTTTTTAATTTTTCTTTCTTCTTTGCAATGAATTTTTTGCACATTTACTAAATAGGATAAAAGATATTAATTGTAATGTAATTGCTTTTTAAAAATTGCTTCAGTCTCGTGTTTAATATCTGGTAGTCGTCCGAAAAAATCAGCATTATTAGGAAACAATCGGCATTATTTTCCCCAATTTCAATTTAACTAGTGAATTACAAGGACTGAGAGGTTTATGTACACAGGGTGACCTTACAAAACATGAGGCCAGGTAAAAAACATGACATCCGCTAATCCACACACCAACACCACCACAAACACAAAAGAAAGGGCGACGTAACTAGTCATGTTAAGTCAAGTCAAGTTTTTGAAAGAATGCTTGTTCGAACTTTTTAGCCACGCCCCAAACCAACCAACGTTAGCCCTGCTTGCCTGGACTCTGATGCAGTCGCTCTTCAGAGGTTGTAAAGGTAAGCCGATGTTTTATTATTATCATCATCATCATCACTAATTTATTTAATATTTGTTTCTTTTAAGACCATGAAATTCATACCAACGACAAGAGGAGGAAGAGGGCTTTAGCTTGACGGCTACGCCTACATCGTTGATAAACGGAAAGACAATGTAATGAATTGGCGATGTGAACGCAAAGGAAGTTGTTGGGGACGATTAAAAACAGAAGAAGACGTTAATCGAGGAGAAGCAAGCAATCACTCACATCCGCCTGATGCCGGACGTAACATGTCCTTGAAAACAGTAAAGAAAATTAAAGAAAGAGCCAGACAGTCGAAGGAAGTGACATCGACTATTAGGCTATACAAAACTGCACCAGTGAGTACCCACTTGATGCTGCAGGTGCTCTTCCTAAGAAAGAAACTCTGGCAAGAATGGTGAGCAGGCAACGCATGGCACCAGACGGCGACTTTTTAACTGACGACTTGCGGAAATCAATTAGAGGAGAAGACGTTTTCATCCATAAAAGTAACAACCTGCTAATTCTGTCAACACCTCGAAACTTACAGCTTCTTGCTTTTAAAAACCACTGGCTGCGTGATGGGACATTTGATTCTGCGCCAGTAGGCTTTCAGTTATATACAGTGCATGTTATGCTGGATGAGAGCCATACATAAGAACATAAGAATGGAGGAAACTGCAGCGGGCCTATTGGCCCATACTGGGCAGTCCCATTTACACCCAACCCCTATCGCTCATATACCCATCCAACCTATATTTGAAGCTATCCAGCGTATTCGAGTTAAAGATGATATTTGGTAATTTGTTCTACTCGTCCACTACTCTATTTCCATACAAACGTTTACCTATTTCGCGCCTAAATCTAAATTTGTCTAATTTAAAACCATTCTTACGAGTTCGTTCCTGGTTGGATAGTTTGAGCACCTTTGTAATGTCCCCTTTGTTTAACCCTGACTTCCATTTATACACCTCCATCATATCGCCCCTCACTCTACGTCTCTCGAGGGAGTGCAAATTAAGATGCTTTAACCTGTCTCTGTACTCAAGGTTCCTAATGCCCGGGATTAGCCTTGTCATTCTCCTCTGAATTCTTTCCAAGGATTATCTATCCATTCTGTAATACGGTGATCAGAATTGAACTGCGTAATCCAAGTGAGGTCTCACAAGCGCAAGATATAATTTAAGGCTGTCCACGCTAGTCTTGTAACTAACACTCCTTTGTATGAACCCAAGTACTTCATTAGCCTTGTTTTGAGCAAATACACATAGTTTACTTGGCTTAAGATTCCTACTTATCATTACTCCTAAATCTTTCTTGCAGTCGGATTTCTCAATAACATCGTTGTTCATCTGGTATCTGGTTTCCCTGTTTACATCTCCTATACTGAGTACTTTACATTTGTCCACATTGAATTTCTTCTGGCATTTTTCAGACCATTCGAAATTTTTTTTTGGATCATCCTGTAGTTTTGCAGAGTCCTCGTCATATTTAATCACACGCCCTATTTTAGTGTCATCAGCAAATTTACTTATGTTGCTGTCTACGCCGATATCTATGACGCTTATGTATATAATGAATAATAATGGTCCAAGTACTGAGCCTTTGGGAACTCCACTAGTGAAGTTGCTCCAATCGGATTTAGTGCCGTTAATGCTCACTCGCTGTTTCCTGTCCTGTAACCACGCTCTAATCCATTTTAGAATATCTCCTTTAATACCATGAGCCTCCAGTTTTCTTATTAGTCTTTCGTGGGGACTCTGTTGAAGGCTTTGCTAAAGTCGAGATATACCACATCATAATTGTGCCCCTCGTTGCCTAAACTACAGCACAACACAATGATTCGTGAAACAGTATCATATACAAATGGATGCATTTTTTATACCGACTGGGATAAATGAATAATTTTCTTATATTGATAATCCTGGCCCAGCTTCTTAACCAGTACAACTAAGATCGAGAAAGATAGAGAAGGAACATGACTTACGTGAAGTTGGTGATCTCTTTCAGGTAGTGGAAGGCGTTGCCGAGGATGCCGCTAACGGTGACGGTACCTCCTGGGGCAGGTGTGAGGATGGTACGCGGCACTGACTGTGGAGACACACCACACGGCACTATGAAAAGTCCCATAGGCATGACTGGCCGTTAGGCATTATATATGCTTATAATTCTACATTATCTTAACATTCGAGTCATTGTTTTGTTACAGTCTCCCGGGGGTTGCCTTCACCAGTACTGCACGTCTTGCAACACACATTTAAGACCATAGTTTCAACTTTTCGGGCAAATTCTCACAAGACATTTGGGGTTTATTCATAGTGATGTGTTTTGGTAGACCTATCGGAAGTATTTAAGCTATGTTCACACTATTGCGTAGTCTTCATTACTTCTGGGCCCTCTATTATCCCTGTAGGAGTGCGGCGTGGTTTTCGGTCACGGCAAATTATACTTCCATCGCTTTGTCTTTTGTAGGCATTTGTTTTTGTATGTATGTATGTATGTATGTATGTATGTATGTATGCTATAAACGTTAACTTAATAAGAGACATAACTTGCAGCCACAACACTCTCACCCTATCATTACCCGTTATTAGGGAACCAACATTGATCTCACATCGACTATAAATGTACAGTAATAATGGTCAGGCCGCGCTGTGACACTGATGAACCACACAGCAAACTAACCTCATTACATGCACATACTTTTGGGTCACACGACTTAATATCAATATGACAATTTTTTAAATAGATTTTCCACGATATTCAGGTGAGGAATTACTTTTTAGAACGCCGTGTATTTTAAACATGCATGACGAGGAAGACTTGTTTATAAAGTACGTTCGTGTAAGAGTTTTCACTTATGAATAATAATAAAAAAATCTCTTGTGCGTGTAAGAGAGATTACCAGTAGTCATGAGACCGAGTGGCTGCCGTGATTATATTGCTGTTGTTGATATTGATATTGAAACATTTTAATTAGCCAGAAGAACACAGATACAGAGTCGATTAAATATCATAGTATTAACATGGCTGAGCCAGTTAGAGCCTGAGCTCTCTTGTTGGCACCTGATATGTACTGCACATTTGTCTCGAGGAAGTATTATGTAACATTTAATATCATCTGGAATAGTACACATAGCATGATGGTAATAAGAACATAACAGAAGCTTCTCACCCTGAACCACGAACCCTGAGATTCATACTCGTGAACCCAAAGCAGTAAACTGACCCTAGTTAGATCCAGACACTTCCTTACTATCAAGGGAATTAACTTTAAAAAACAGAAAACAGATCCCAAGTTCACCCCAGAGACAAGTGATGAGCCAAAGGTGCAGGTCTTACCGATATGGTGGTGCATCTGAGGTGGAGGCCCGTTAGGTCATCACGCCGCAACAATGGATCACCATCAAGCATCTCCAGACGACCAAACCTTAACGTGTACACACCGACGTCTTCGGGAGAGGGCAGCGAACTCTTAAAGGTACTCCACACTGCATCGTCGTGACTATAAGGTGAGGAACTGTAGGCTTTCTCATTTTGTGGATCACTTCCTGTAGTAACCGCTGAAATCAAGGACCAGCTGCCAGAAGGATCCAAGTGCAGCCTAGACACGGAGGACACTTGGTAGGCTTGCAACAGCGTCACAGCAGCGGGGTTTCCCTCAGAGAACGAGGCGATGGTTACCTGCAGGAACATATATAATTCGAATCTCTTTGCGAATCATATAAAATAATTGAGTCATCCCGATTCCTTATGAGCTTAAGAGAGCGGAGATATCTGTGTATATTCCAGTGGTCTCCAGGCACAGGTAGATTATACGCGTGATAATGTGTACTGTACTTCATATATATTATAGGCGGAGAGTGACTAACGGTACACAATCATCACTGGTAATGGCGCCTAAAATTATTTTACTCACTGAATCTTTAACAACCAGATATTAAATATATTCATATCTAACCTCTTATGGTAGTTCTGATACACTGCAGCAACGTGGAATACAATGTACAGTCCCCTTCACTAGTGCTTTTACAGGGGCTCGTCATATAAATATTCCACAAATCATTATCTTTGAAATATTTACTTTAATATTGCTTTAATTTGACTCCATATTATGTTTACTATTGCAAGCTTCCTTCTGTCGAATGTAAACAAACACAGGGCTGACACACTGCACAAAACCTGACGAGCCCCTGTAAATGCACTAGTGAAGGGGACTGTACCTGTCTTGTGTTTGTAATCATACCTGTACGTTTACCTGCTCAAGTGTTTTGTGGATAGTGGCTACATGACTAATGCAATCAGGAATTCATACTCGTAAATAAAAATTGACTAAAGTAATGGTTCATTTCTGGTTAGGAGTTATACTTGATGAAATGTTATGATTCAGAACACAGAAATTTTCCCGGCAACTGATTTATAAAGTAGTGTATCTCTTTATTTATGCTCTATCTTTTTTTTTTTTACTCTCTCTCTCTCTCTCTCTCTCTCTCTCTCGTCAAGAACACGTCACTTACGAACATGGTCATCAAAGAACTATCAGCTTATAAAATTTTTTTCACCACCTCGGCTCCAGGTTTACTAAGAAGCTATTTAAGCACTCTATATTTAGTGCCAGTGCAAACATTATTACAAATCTGTGGTGTGTGTGTGTGTGTGTGTGTGTGTGTGTGTAAGCATACATACATTAACACACACACACGCCACCATTTAAGGTCGTCTACTCACGTGAACCTCTCACATTCTTCGGCGACCAGAGTGCAACGAAAAAAAGAATAATACCTGTCTTGTCGGTTTGTGCCGTAATTAGTTTTACCGTTTGAAGGATATTGTGTTCTGGTCTAAATAACAGCCCTAGAGTGAAAAGGAGTTAATGCAGACAGACAGACTTACAAAGTGGGAGGGAAGAGAAAATAACTAATGAGAAAAAGACAGAGACAAGAGAGAGAGAGAGAGAGAGAGAGAGAGAGAGAGAGAGAGAGAGAGAGAGAGAGAGAGAACGAACCACTTACACTAGTACTGAACCTAAGGATGGGGAGTTCAGGATGGTCACTGCCTACATTACAGACTAAGATGAAAACGTGAGTACTGTACTTGAATTCTGCTGCTAAGGTTGGGTTAGGTGAGAAGTAACTTTGTAAACTTAAGTATTAAGGGGAGATCACAAAGGGCCTCAATTGATTTAATTTACCACTTTGACGGGAAAGGAAGATGATGACTTGTTTATTTGCCCCATTGATCCTCCTGAGTGTCTTTAATTTTCCGGTGTTAGTACAGGAGGAAACTGGAGTACCCTGGCCGGGAATTATATCCTGAACACAGAAGTAAGAGACACGAGTGTTACCATTCTACCACAAAATCCATAATATGTACCCAGTCCCCAGCCCAAACTAAAGCTACTCTAACTTAACCTATTCACTGGGTCTGGAGTCCTGTCGCTCATGGGCCCAAAGAATAATGGATCCTTCTCTTAGTGGTTAATTTAAGGCCCCTGTGACCTCTTGCAACCTTGGAGGATAAGCTGTGGAGGACCTCGACTCACCCGACTGTTGAGAGGAAGGTAGAGGGAAGCGAGCCACTGAGGCATACGGGAAGTGTTCGTCACCAGGAGCCAGTTCACGTTCACTGACACAACAGGGAACATCTGCAGGAGAGAGGAAGAGAAGTTGTTGAGTAGGAGTAGAAATAAGATCAAATGTTGAAGAGGTAATGCAAAGAATAACACTCGTTCAACGTAGATTGAATCTATGATCCCCTGAACCTGACTTGTAAACAAACCAACGTTTCTCTCACCTCCCTAAACAGATAAGCATCAACTTGTGTCTGCAGACGAAGTACAATAAGACCATCTCCGCACGGCAGGATTTTGTTGGTGGTGATGCTGGTGTTGGTGATGTGGGACTCTGACTGACCTCTCCTAAACCGGTCCATAATGCGAGCGCCGTTGATCACAGCCACATAGGAGTTGATCCACTTAGTCACCCTCGACAACATGCTCGCTGCCCAAGGTTCTTCGCCTTCTGCAGGAGATATATCACAACTGCAAAGAACCTTTGTCAGTAGTTAGCACTCGTACCATGAAGGGGGCGACATTGTTGGTATTTTGCGGGTGAATGTTCGACGTCTGTCATGGCGTATGCTTGTCATTTTCGGGTAATGGAAACACCAGGCGATGTTGTTTGTTCCCTTGGCGCTCTTGTTATACATAGTGCAGGTGTATGAACGAGTGCAGCTCAAGTGCCTTTTGTAAATAAACGACAAAACTTCACAAGAAATTTAGGGAAAAAATACAAATTCAGATCCGCTTATTTAGACACGTTTTTCACTTTGGCTGTTGAACTGGAGAAAATCGCGTTGAAAAGGCCAACTTAAATCAATTAGAATAATGTTATTAAATTGCAATGAAAAAAAATAATTTATTAACCAACTTTTATATAAATAAAACATCATTATTGGTGAATAATTTACAGAGGAATATTCTGCTGCAACACAGTAAATAATTTTGGAGACTTGGATGCAATGCTCTTACAATTTAAATGAGAAAAAGAATGATGAAAGCTTGTTTACGTAAATTATGTCGAAAATTAGTTAAAATTATGTGAAATAAAGTCCACGTGTCGGCGTCCTGCTGGACAAAGGCTGGTGAAACGTGGACCTTCCTCTTGGTGTCTCCAGCGCTCGTGCACACGCACACACCTGAGCCAACATAATCACTACCACTTACACGATCGTTTGTCATTCATGACGCTTTGAAAGATATTAATAATGGTCACCTTACAACAGGTTAATTGCTTAGGACTGATCGACCACACTTCAGAGGCTTTAATATATCAGCGTCTTGTTGTGACGTTTGGTCCGGCAACATGGACGTGCCTTACCGTAGCACATTGTGACAAAGACCAACACACACACACACAAGTAGGCATATCTACATACACGTACAGAGACACAAATAACTCCCCCCCCCACACACAGACGCGCGTAATTCATGTATACACAGAGAGAATAAATACAATTAATATATTATCATCAACACAGAATCTCGCGGCTGCAAAGTGAACACAAAATGGTTCAGTCTTCAGAACACTATCCCATCCCACTTGAAACTTTGGGAACTTTTAAAGATTGAATTCAATGGTTTTAAAGTTTATTTTTATCCCTCTACACAATTCTTACATGGCATTCACTTCCTGAATCTATATTCTCCCGTAACAGTGACTTAGAGCAATTAAGTCAAGAGTATGGGGACTTAACCTCCTCAGTACAATATCATACACCACGGGTAAGTCATCGTCCTGGAGGGGTGAATTATCTCACTCGGTGGACCCAGAAGGCTAGCATCGTAGTAAAGGGGATAAAGGTCAGCGGACCAGAAGCTTTGGGAGCTATTCTAGTTTGCTCTCTTCCGTTTCCTGATCAAACTCTCTAAGGTTCGGGCGTCTAACTGTCACTCTGAGCACAATAATTACACTGACGGTAAAAGTCAATAACATAATGATGACAAATTAAAAGTTCAATGAACATTCACTTTGGCCTTAGCCAGTGAATCCATTGACTTGCTCGAGAGATATATTAAACATACTCAAGTATTTCCCATTAGAATACTTCATGAGTATAATTAGCCCAAAATCTTGCAGTTATCATACAATATTCAGGGTGAAAGAGGAAGATCTTTTAATGCATGAATATTGCAAGTTTTCCTCCAGCAAATTGCTAACAAATTGATAATGATTATGAATTTCACTTCCGGCCGAGCGTAAGACTCTATTATGCTTTTATTTCTCAGCTAAAACCACTTAATGTTAACGTGCCTAAGTGTGTAATGAATTATACACACACACACACACACACACACACACACACACTCGTGTACTAACTTAAAACGTTAAGATAGTTCCCGTGCTTCCCTTACAAAATCCAATATTAACTTGAAACGTCCATTTTGGTGTTAATCCCTGTCAGGTAGGACGTCGACCACAGTCAAGCGTTTTGTGCGCGTCTTAATCTTCCAGGCTGTTGTATACCTCTGGGAACGTAGCTGTTGTATACCTCTGGGGACGTAGCTGTTGTATACCTCTGGGGACGTAGCTGTTGTATACCTCTGGGAACGTAGCTGTTGTATACCTCTGGGAACGTAGCTGTTGTATACCTCTGGGGACGTAGCTGTTGTATACCTCTGGGAACGTAGCTGTTGTATACCTCTGGGGACGTAGCTGTTGTATACCTCTGGGGACGTAGCTGTTGTATACCTCTGGGAACGTAGCTGTTGTATACCTCTGGGAACGTAGCTGTTGTATACCTCTGGGAACGTAGCTATTGTATACCTCTGGGAACGTAGCTGTTGTATACTGGAGCTTATTTGTATAATAGCTACGTCTGGCATTTCTAACTGCTTAAGTTACTCTATTTCTGATGCTTCGGTAAGCATAACCGAAAGTTACGGGTCTTTTTGCAAATTTTCTTTGGAGTTTGTGTTTTTCCTTTATCACTGTCTTGATTTTACTTGTAATATAGAGTTTGGAGATAGATACAGTTTTTACTTAGTCTTGTAGGGGAAGCATTTATTAAAGCAAGCATTGAAGATGCAAGAACAGTTGCAGCAGCTCACGTTAGGGTTGTCGGAGGCATAGACAAGATCCCGCTTAACATTCATTAAGTTGTTTTCGAACAGGAGCATGTTGTCGGCGCAGTAGTCTCTGTATTTTATTGTGACTTTACTCGACCTTTCAGATCTTGTGGCTGTTTTATACATGGCAAAAACTGGGAAGTGATTTGAGATATTGTTAAAATAATTCCACTTGCAAGATTGTTAGAATGTTGTTAGTTCACATATGATATATCACAGTGGCAGAGGTGGCAGTTACTCTGGTGGGTTTAATTATTGTGTTGAAGAAGAGCTTAGAATGACAGATAGCAAGAAAGTCTATTACTGAGGTGCCCGTCTCTGATTTTAGTAGATCAAGGTTGAAATCTCCTGTAATGCAGCAAAGTTTCCTCTCTCAACTTATTATAGAGATAAGCTCCGATAATTTATCAAGAAAGTTCCTTACATTGGTGTGGGGTCTTCTGCAGATTACTCCTACTTGGATTCGTGTCATTACGTAGTTCAGTGAAAACACTCTCCATAATCTCCTCCGGAGCCTTTAAATCATCTCTTACAGAAGCGTTATACTTGATATCAACATACAGTGCGACACCACTACTGTGTCGTGACATATTGACGCAGTGTCTAGTATAATTAGGGATGTTATATAAATGTTCAATATCGTTAGTGAGTTTGGTCTTACAGAACCCAAGACATCAAATTTGTGGGTAATGGAAGATATACACTGATCTAAAAAGGTGTCGAAGTGAAGGGGAATACTGCTGATGTTATGGTTAATTAAGGAAAAGGAATAAGATAATGAGATAGTAGAAGGCTAGAGCTAAGCTCGGGAGAGTCAGGAAGTAATAGTTACAACTGGGGTTGGTGTAACCCAGTGAGTTTTGTGGAAAGGCATCAGAGTCAATATGAGGGAGTATTGTGTCAACACCATGGGCTCAGTACATCTAAGGGAATGACACTAGAATCATCAGTGTGGGAATATTGGTACTGATTAAGAAACGGCAAAAACTCAAGGTCACTGAGGTGTGAAAAGGGAAGGTCAAAGAAAGTTTTAATAGTGGTGGTGGGGGGGGGGGAACGTATTCACAAGTGCTACAACCAACAGAATTAAGATGACCGGTGCTGTTGATGGTGATTCCCAGTTTGTGTGGAAGGTGCACCTGTCTTTTGGCTATGTGGGTTGCTGATTCCCACCGCAGAGGGTGGACGTGTAGTACCTGAGTTGGCCGACAGGGGAGGAAGCTCCACAGGTGATAGCCAGGATGCGGGAAATGGCTGGCTCTCTCTGTGGGGGGAAAGGGCTCTTGTGGAGCTTTGGGGGTGGTACAGCGGATGGGTGAGTGGGGTTTTATGACATAACGTCGCGAGTTTCCCTTGTTTCCTGGCCTCTTTACAGGTATATCTGAAACCCAGGGAGGCGAACTGAATCGTCCGGGGCAGATCTTTTATCGACTGAGAGGTAGACTTGGGGGAGGAATCTGGTAAGGCTAAGTCGATTGCCCGAGAGACTGAATGTATTGTCTCACAAGGTTCTGATCCACAAGCAACGCGAGAGTGAGGCAGTCAGCAGTGGTCAGTGTGGTGGGTGAGAAGTTGAGGACACACATGGCCAGAAAAATCAACAAGTTCAGGTCTGCCATACCAACTGGCGAGGGAGAGACATTTTCATCTTTGGATAATGTATTCTAAAGGGCAATGAACGTCCGAGCTAGAAGGGCATATGTAGCCAGTTCTGGACGGGGTCAGTCAAGAGGAACTTAGGAAGATTCACCCGTGACTGGTCACTGACACTATGTATTGGCACCACATTTTATGCAGGTGATCATTGAATTCTCCTGCACCACTAACCTCGGCCACGGCACCACACGAGTCACAAACACCAAAAGAATCTTGACAAGACGTGAACACGGAACGCTGAAGCAGCCAACGTCGGTTCTGTCCCCTTAGCCAAGATCTCATCTTTGTTGATTAAAATACGTGAATATGGTAAGGGGAAGAAAAACCATAACTTAATGAAATTTCCTTTTCCGTAAAACTAGGGCCAAGAACGTGTCGAATAATTCATGGAAACGGGGAGTGCATGGTAAGGAACAAACTTTTGTACTTTGTACCCTTCCATTACTCCCGTCCTATTTCTGGCAATAAATCCATTGCCTCGCTCTTAGATTCGTGAGTAAACTTACAAAGCTTTGTAGAAATGCTTTTAGGTTGTGGGAATGGCTTCTTCGTCCGGCTGTTCCGTGAAGTGGCGCTGTGCGAGCAACATAACTTAATTGCTATCGGGAACCTTAAGCGCGAGGGAGATCGTGACCGTTATGGAAATCCGTCCATTTGTGGACAAGCTTAATACCTTCACTCAGCCCTTTACCTCGAGATGGTGCGTCACACTGACGTTCTTTCTTAGTACTGTAAGGGATCTGAGTGGGAACTAACTGTACGAGCTTAAAAATAAAACATGTAAATACAGACACACATAAAAGCACACACATTTGTGCTTCTAAAACCAGTGAGAATTTGAAGGCACGAAGCGAAGATTTACAGCCGTTAAAATGTTGGACATGAATCAGAGAAATGTGAACTTGTGCTCTGGAAAGATAATAACTAATGATAGAATTCAGAGCTATTTTTAAGCGATAAATGACCCCTTTTCGCACACAATATTCGAGAGTAAAAAGGTTGGTGTTGCTACAGTCGTCAGCGTGGTGGGCATCAAGAAGCAGATGAGATGAGGTGAAGCAGAAGACTCACCTGAGTGTAGCAGACACACCCGTTGGTACCCGAAGTGCTGGACGTAGTCAGTGACCAGGAGGGAGGTGAGGCGGTGGGCGGGAGGCGGGGCGACGTGAAGGGCGGGAGGTGGGATGGGGGATGATGGCGGGGGTAGGTCGGCCCCACACACACCCACTAGGACCCATATCAAGCCCACCACGCTGGATATCATGCTGCTTACACTCTGAAGTTGTATCTCACAGCTATGGTTCAGATAATGACGCAGCATTTCTTCATACCTGGAGAAGATACAACAAAATCATTTAAATCTTTATACTGTGTTATCGCCGCCCTCGTACGCCGTGATCTCTGACTCCCCTGTGTTCGCTCGACTTGTGACCTCGCCAGATGTTTGTAAACGGCACAGACATAGAACAAGCGTTTCGTTGTTATGACCATAGTTAGGGGCTCGGGGCACCTCTGGCACACAGTATCGTCCAGCCCCATCGAGTGCACACACACACTAGCTAAAACCAGGAGTTACTTGGAGCGATACTAGGAGTTGTCGAGCTATAAGCCCGCACATTGAGTGAAAGAACACTGATTGTATTATGGTGAAATGTTGTGAACTACATACGTGCATAGTGTAAGGCAATTTGGATAATAACCATACAGAATAATGTATTTACTAACTGACGTATAATGTATACATGTAATGGAATGTAATCAGTAGTTAACGAGTGTCTCACTTTTCCAGGTTTTAACTATATGAATCAACAAACGTTGAGTGAGTCCACTTTGCGGGTTTCTCTCACCCTTAAGCAGAGCCCTGGGCACTTTTTTATCTTCGGCCCATAAATTTCCTGACGCACCATTATGTGTTTTATTTTACCCTCACGACCTTCAAACATCACGCCAACACCGTGCGTGCTGACACAGGCAGAGACGCTGAGTGTAAGTTTTTCCATAATTTAAGGTTAGTCTGTTTTATGGCGGTTTTCGCATGTTAAATCTAACAAATATACTCGTTATTATTAAGCTTGGGTTTATTATGGATTTGCATATGCAGAGGTAAATGCATATTTTAGCATTTTTGAGCTAAAGCGCATATTCATTACTTTTTTGTTTCATAAGGCATATTTTTGGAAAATTCTATGGTATTCTGATAAATGTTTCAACCTGTTATGGTATTTAGAATCGTAATATCCATAAGGAATATATAGGGTACATTAGGCTGTGGATAGCTAGGCCGTGACTGGCTAGTCAGTGGACAGAAACTGTACGTGATGTTTTGTTTGAAATTATAATCACTGATAAATTGATAATAGAAAGTTGAATTGAGTTGCTTATTATTTTGAGGGTTTATAAAAGCTCTACATTTGTTTTGCAGTATGTCCAAGAATATAGTTGTTCATTTATTCATTTGTGATTGTTTAGTCCCTTGTGACTTCTACTCAATCATAGCTAGTTTCCGGCAAGTCAGGTTTAAAGGATGTCTAAGCACTAACCAAACAGATACTAAATTAACGTTTACAATTACTTAGTCTTATGACTGCAATCTATTTCTCTCGTCAAATTTATCAATTATTTTCATTTACCCTGTTGGAACATGAAAGTTAATAGACCAGACCACAGTGAAAATATATACATTATATCTCAAATTTCGTAGGCCTCTTTAAACCTTCGTAGGCCCTGGGCACTGTGCCCACTGTGCCCCCTTGATAGTGCAGCCCTGCCCTTAAGACGTAACGTCATATAACTGTCGAAACATTCGGCAGTTAAACTCAACTAATCTATTTTAATCGATTATATTTTTCCTATTAAACTCTCAACCCTGAGTCCTGAGCCAGATATCTACTCCAGTACAACAATCTGTGAGGCACACTCAATTGGCCTTTTTAAGAGAGAAGTTTGTAATCAGAGTAAAACGCAGCTGTTTATACGCCGATCGACCACACACACACACACACACACACACATATACACACACCATTGGGATGAGCGTCAACAATTCTGCTCCCGACTATACCGCCCTTCAGGATTTATTGAACGGTCTCCAAAACTGGGCCACCAACAACCACGTCACCATCAACCATACCAACACCATGGTTATGCACATCAACCTCTCCTCCGACGTTGTCCCACCCCCTTCCATTACTTTAGGTCCCAACACACTCCAGGCTGTAGATTCCACTAAGCTCCTCGGCGTCACCATTGACAACAAACTAATTTGTAAACCACACGTCAGTGAAGTTGTCAAATCCTCCAGTTTCAGTCTCCACCTCCTTCGCCGACTCAAGTCCCTTGGAGTTCCTGTGCCCGAGCTCCTCAATGTTTACTCAACATTCATACTTCCCAAGCTCACCTATGCCTCCCTAACCAGGTCTTCCTCCCTAAATGCCACACAACGTAAACACCCAGAAAAAGTGCAAAAGAGGGCATGCAAGATTATTCTCTCCCCTTTCTACTCCACATATCAAGAAGCGCTCAACACACTGACCCTCTCGGCTCTCACTGACCATCACCACGACCTCATTTGCAAATTTGGTGAGAAGCGTCTGCACCATCCTCGACACCGGCTCCTACTACCACCTGAGATCCCTCGACCGAGAATTGCTGTTCGACACCACAACCGCATCCCGCCCATACGGGCACGAACTGATCGCTATAAGAATAGCCCAGTCCCAACCATTGTAAGAATTATCAATAACTTGTAATCAACCAGTGTATTCACTCCCAGTCAATCTCACTTTTTGCACTGTCACCATGTTGAAATGCCCTGTAGTTTGAGCTTCTCCCCACCTAGTTATTATATATCATATTTGTATCACTTATGTTACTTGTATAATATTTGTAAATCAAGTGACCCATTCCCCAATTATGTAACTGTATATTTTCAGCCTTCCGGCTGCCATACCTTTTCAATAAACCGTTAATTATTATTATTATTATTATTATTATTATTTACACACACAGTACAATAAGTTGTTCTCCATTCAAAAAATAGACATAAAATATGTAAACATATAGATCCACTGTTAATAAAATGCTGACAAAATCTATATATAAAATGTTTCATTGTTTTTATATCTGTGCAGTTTATTTTCTGTGGTCTCAATTCTCGGTAAAACAAGGATTTATTATCCTCCGTCCCCATTACAGTCTCGTGGCTCCCTGTACTATGTTAAGTGTTGAATGTTGGTAACGTGTCGTGCTTCAAAAAGAAGTTCAGGTTTATGAGATGATGGGGAAGAATATTAATTTGTACTGATTTAGGGGAAGTAAAATAATTGTTGCCTTCTGTTGAAATATGATTTCAGTGTTTCTTCTGCATCTTATTATTATTATTATCACCATTATTATTATTATTATTATTACCCTCCCGCAACGGCAAAATCTCACATCAAGAAAAAAAAAAAAAAAATTATGAATTATGAGGAAATTCACAAAATTTGTGCGGAGGCAGAATGTTTTCATAAGCAGTAAAGTGAAGTGAATTTTCTACTGAAATGAAAGAGAGAGAGAGAGAGAGAGAGAGAGAGAGA